GGAATGGCTCTACAACTTCTGATTCTGTCACTCTGAGACACTGGAAAGTCACTTAATCTCTGAGTCAGAACCTACATCAGCAAAATAGGAGCAATAATACCTACATCATAAGTTTACTGTGCATATAAAAGAGAGAATATACACTAGCCACTGTAGTGGAGACAAGGGAGCCAAAGGAAGTTTCTTCCACAAACTCTGCAAAGATTCACTAAAGATGAAAACTGAGCAATGGTGAAGAAACATATTTTACTCTTTTCAGTAAGTCTGATTTTTATCTTGAACATTTACATGGGAATTTTCTTTTACAATAAAATTAAATAAAAATATTGCGTAGTATTTGCTAGTCTATAATCCAGTCTTTGTATGTTCTGTTAAGAAAGTAAAAAAGTCAAGCAAAGCAAGAAGAAAGATCTTTTAAATACACATAAAGGTTGGCTCCTTCCCCAACTTGATCCTTTGCTCATTAGTCATGAATTCTTGGGTGTGGAGAATGGCTTTCACAGTTACCTGATTTTCATGGCACGGGCCCTGGCAATACTCAGTTAAGCTCTCCAGAGTCTGGTTGACCAGCGCGACATTCTTCTCATTGATGTAGAGACCCAACAGGCCCAGGCCGCCGGTTGTACTTCCACAAATGCAGTCCAAAAACTGAAGGGTCTCACAGACAAGGTTGTAGTTTGTTTTGTTGTTTTGATTCCTCAAGAAGTTCTGAAGGCAAAAGAAAATACATCCACGGGTTTAAAAAAAAAAAAATCACTGTGCTAATTGTTTTCAGTTCTTTCTTAATTTATGTGTTTTTCTAACTCAAAAAAATCCCCACGGCAGTGTGAAAGTTAATGCTCATTATTACAAAGTGTTCACGTTTATTCGATTTCCCCTAGCTTTAAGGGGGGAAAAGGGCCCTCAGGTTTTTCCTCAGCATTTATATTTATTAGTATAGTTCACAATAAACATTTCTCAATGTCATCTTAAAACTATACAGAGAGGGCAAAAATAACAGGAAGTAGGAAAGGAAGAAGAAAAATGGAAACTAGAAAGAAGTTCATTAGGAAGCAAAACAATCAAATTTTAGAGTAAATGATCCCTTATATACAGTGCAGCTTCACTGTTCACCAATTGTAAATGACAGGACCATTATGGAGGGCTACTTGGAAGCATCTATCAAAATTTTCTGTGAACACACAGCTCCACTTCTAAAAAGTTATTCTAGATACATGTACACAAGTACACAAGGGTTCACTGCACACCGCTGTTGTAGCCAAAACCAGAAACTGTGCCATTCACAATAATGTGACTGGTTTAATAAATCATTTAATAAACCTACATCCTCTATAAAAAGATTTCTTCTGTATATCCAAACACTGGAATATTGTGAAGCTGTAAAAATGAGGTACTTCAATATGTAAAGATAAACATAACCTAGCAATAAGTCATTTAGTAATAAGATAAATTATTAAATGAAAAAAGTAAGTTGGAAAACACAATGTATTGTGCGTTTTTTAAAGGGTTTACATGCACACATTGATATGCTTATGTGTGCATAAAAATGTCTGAAAGGAAAAAAAAACCTGTTAACAGTAATTATCTCTGGGGAGTAAAC